CAAGAAAATTGTTGTAAACGACGAATACTATTTTCGATTATTTGTTCTTCATTTCGTCCGAACAGAAAAAGAGCACTACTGGTATTGTTGCATGTGCAAGTTGTTGTTGTAGCTGATCGTTTAGTTTAAACTACTTTTATTATCTAAAGAAGCAATGAGGACGAAAATATTACACGAAAAACAATAAAAAAAATATGGTACCGGATCGAACCATTACATCGATACAGTCAACAATATTTTAGATGTTTCTTCTTAAAAGTAAAGGCTTATAGTTTTGAACACAGGGCTCTCAGGTAGCGCATTGATACAACAATTTTTTCAAGCTTCTCTCGGAAAGTATACGAAAAATTTGTTTCATAAGGAATTAGAATGACACCGTCAGTGTAATGAGTTTCTGTAAAGCCAATCTTAGTGAAACCATGTACAAATATTCTGAGCTATCACATCTCGATTTTACATGCAAAAATATGCAAACCTGTGGAGATTTATATAAGGTTTTTTCAAAAATTTATACTTCAGTACATACTCGAGTAAAATTGACTTGTACACTTACTCATCACGAAATACTTGGTACTCGTATTCGAGGAAGTGTTCACTAGCCCACCTGTGCATATATCATGTGTAGCTGCCGAACTGATGATGCTTCAGATTGATCTCATAAACCTTCAAGCGTTGATTAAAGTTTCAGCTTTTAATCTCAAGACATCTCTCTTATGTAAATATTTTTGAGCATTTGGACTCTCTGTTTCGTAAAGGCATGCTTTCTCATTAAATAGTCATGTTTTCTTCGCTTCGTTTTTAATCAAGTTTAGATCAAGGTGTTAACTGAAATTGAACCTCAACCTTCGGAATCAGCAGCAGCAAAACTGGCCACAAACGGTAAGAGAAAGGAACATTTGTCATTTTCTTCAGAGATACAATATCAGCCTGTGCCGTTTTCTCATCTTCGAAGAGTCATCGCCCGTGTGATTCGGCGTTTAGAATAAATATTTATACGTTAAAGATAAAGTGTATTAATGAAACGGGCTGGAAGGGCTAAGCAATTACTTAGCATTATTTAAATATTCACTTTGTTTTCTTCCATGTAAAATGTTTTCTATATTTTAAACTTGGTTTCCGGGTCTAAGGAACGTTTCGGAAGGATCTACGGCAACCTCAAAAATGGATGAAAACATAGGTTTTCGATCAGGCCGGATGATCGAATGTTGAAATGAATATATCTGAAAACCAAGTATATCTGAATATTTTGGAGTAGTTTGGATTGATTTTGACTGACTTATGAACTATTTAAGTTTAAGTTTTAATTTTTATATAGATATATGCAGAATTATTTACTGTACAAAATGCTGAAATATAATTCCGGAACTAGCTTTTGTATCGCTTGAACGCAAGTTGACTCGCCTGTACGAAAAAATACAACTTTTCATAAATGATGTTGTTCCACATTTTGTCTTTATATTTCCAGACAGCGCGAATCCTGGAAGCCAACCGCAGAGATCTTCGAGTAGAGCAACTTTTGTGCTTTCTAAATATATGTTAGATATTTGCTCACCAACGCACAAAAGAGTGCGCATAGTCATTTTGTTCTGCTACGTCTAAAAGCAGTATTTTTTGATAGGAGTCGATCAGGAGTTAAGATCAGCAGATTGGTTTCGATGAGAACAACACTAATCTACACTATCAGATTGATTTGAGAAAAGAATCGACGGTATCCTTTTCCCGGTGGTTGCACTACATAAAATATGGCGGAAAGTTGAAAGATTTCACGGCAGTACTATTCAAAACTGGGGAAACTCCCTTTGTGATCACTATTTCTTACTACTATCGATGAGAAATTCGACTTTGTAAACCAATCAAATTTTGGACGAGTTAACAGATGCTAAGATCTGGAAACAACAAAAGGCAAATAGAATTATTAGTGTCTACAGTAACACTATGGTACTGTAGTGTCTACAGTATCATAATGCTGATGAACTGAATGACGACAATGACTTAATCACTGAAATTGCATGGGTAACTGCTGTTAGTTTTGAACGCGTTCGTGTTTATTTGAAACTCTCTTATAACGCAAAGGAAATTTTTTCGTCTGCAAAAAATTTTATATGTGCAGCAGCAAAAAAACAAGAGTCGTTATTGTATTACATTCGGTATGAACCAGCTGATAAATCACGAATTTTGTTATTATCGGCAGATCCGAAATACAAATACATTAATAAAATTATTGCTGTCAATGTTCGCGACGATCCAATTAATGTTGTCGAACCATCGGGGGGAAATTCAAAGTAATTGTTGCATTAATACAAGCAGCTAATGACAAATATGTCAACTATCTTAAAGAAAGCATCGCAGACGAAATAAAACTGAAATATTTGCTAATAAGTTCACGTCAAATATTGTATTTGTGCATGGGTTGTGTATTAAGTGAATTTTCCGATCAGGGTTTGTACACATGGTTTCGACCATTTGTTCTGGAACATATTCAACTGCACTATCATTTCAAACGTGCTTACGGCAACTGTTTTTCGCCGGCATCGGCACATGTGCTCCAAAAAGACGATTACAAATGCGTCCGAAAAATAAAATGCAAAATGTATGAATATCCAGAAAAATCAGATAATTATCCGTTTAAAAATATGGTTGATGGCGAAGACGAAATATCTGTTCTCGAAAAAATATTTACCGAATAATAAATTGTATATTATGAAAGAGTTGTTTTCATGGTTCTCAGTCAGGCCGTTTCACCAAACAATCTCTTAGGCAATAAAATCAGATTGGTACTTTAAGCTTGCAGCTCCAGCATACTGCGTCTTATGTAAGAAGAATGTGTCCTCAACAAACCCAGATACTGAGTTCAAGAGTGAACATATATGTTGATTTCTAAATAAATCAGACAGGTGCATGCATTACGTGAGTGCGTGTACTTATATAGACAGGAAAAGAAACGTATGTTATATCATATAACATGCGTTCCTTTTCCTGTCTATAAAAGTATTTGTCTATATAAGTTATTTTATATATAGTAAGTTACTATATATAAAATAAAGTGAATGCTTTTAAATATGTGAAAGAGAACGTAATTTGATCGAGAAGAAAATGTTTCGGATTGCTCAGAGAAGGCAATATCTTTTGGATTCAATGGAGAGCATCTGAGAGGCTAACATGTATGTAGAAGAGTTCAAAACTGGTCGGACTAACAAAATATAAACGTAACGAATCGTTTATTGTTATTATGTGGCAACTGTTCAACCGTTGCAGCCCTATTGAGGCTAAAAGGGTGAAACTCCTTTAACGTCTTCAAACAAATTGACAAAATTTATAGAAATAAGCGTAAGTACAAAAGATATACAGAGTGCGCCTGAAATTGTAACTTCTGTAAAATGTTTTGTAAAAGAAAACAGAACTTTATTGAAATTCAATTTTTGTTTGATAAAGACTTCATTTAGCCAGTTTTAATAGAGTTTTGTTTTTATGGGGGAGAGAAAGGAACAGACCCTAAGATGCATATACATGAAAAACGCAACAAAAAGAAAGAGGAAAAAAACTCATGAGATCATTTTGACTGTTCTGTAAAAGTAAAAAGTTGCTAATGTACAGTGACATATAGTTAAAGAAAGAGACAACCGAAAAAGTAGGACAACTGAAGAGAATATTGTGTTCTCCAAAAAAATAAGAGTCTAGTCTCGCCACGAGAAGGTTTAGAGGTCATAGATAAATGACTTCCTGTTTAGAAGCATTTCACATGAGTTTGTTATCTGTTGCCATTGCTTAAAAGAAAAGCGAATTTTCTATATATTCTTGTTGTTTGAGTCTTGTTTGGGTCTTTTCTGTCTAACGTCCTTTCCTCTTTTTCAGCGGTTAAGAAAGGCATTTAGAATTTTCGGTAACAGACAACTTGTGCGTAGCGTAACTACAATTTAGTGTGATCGTTTTAAGAGGGTCATTAGCCAATAAGCTCATACACTTAACGACTGCGAATATTTCGTCTTTGAAAGTACTTGTTCTTTCCTAAATTTGTAAGATTAGAAGTTGGTTAAAAGCATCTATTTTTTACTAAAGAGATGTTCAGAATAAACCACATTCTGAAGTCATCGTTATCCAACAAATTTATGACGAAGCGAAACAAAATGCATCCGCTTGTCTTTAACATGCATCTGTTTAATACAATCTCGTGCTTAAAGCGGAGAAATAGATGAGGCTGTTTCGATGTTTGGAATTGCCGTTAGAATCTGAACAAAATGATATGTCATTCAGTAGAATTCAAAGACTTTACAGAGACATTCAAAGTCCAATAGTGCGTTTTTCCTTCTGAACTTTTTCTGTTTATCATAGCTTTTTCATTCTTAAATCGGATAATCAAAAATTGAATAATACATCTTAGAATTCAACTTGCCCAGAATTTAAGGTGTTTAGTATTAAACGAGTGAAAAGATTTTGGAAAAAATCTGGTTTTTCAGGACTCTCTGGGAATTCATTAGAAAACCAAAAGCCCTTTTGGGAAGAGTCTAAAGTTGTCTGCCGGATAGAAGATACTTTAGATTATTGTATAGACCTAGTCATCCCATCTCGATTTTTTATACTTTTCGTGGAAGATATTTTGCATTAATAATTCGTTTGATGTTAATGTATTCTATGCTTTTGTTTACAAACAGATATCGTAGCGGAACTTCCACTCGTTTATTTTTACTTTCTACGCCATCTTTTTTACTAGTTGTTATTGTATCTGTTTCAATTTGTATTCATTGAGATGAAGCCGGTTCTGATTGTAGTTTTGCTCAAACGGCCCAAAATTTGTCGATGGTCTTTTAATCCTTTTATTGAAGCAAAAGAATTCATATCAGTTGATGATGTGTACAAGAAGAACAAAATACAATAAGCCTACTATTTATAAAAGTTACAAGATAACAATATTTGTGGAACATTTAGAAATATATCAGAACAACCTGAATTGATATTATCTGACTGAAAATGGATGACTAAATGCGAATAATTTTAAGAAATATTCACAACAGTCTTCTCTTCTTAACATTATTAATCAGCTGTCTAGCCGCTGTTATAAACATTTGTTCCATATTCTCTCCCGTCAGTGTACTTATTTCAAAATACGGAATATTTAATAAATCAGCATATTGTTTAGCTTCTTCGTGTTCAACTTGTCGTTGTTGTTCATCGATTAAATCACATTTATTACCAACTAATATTTTAACAACATTGTCCTTAATACAAACTATATGCAGCCATCGTTGAAGATTTTTAAGCGAATCTTTGTTTGTAACATCAAACAATAACAGATAACCATTTATTTTCTCATGCTTTAAGAATAGTCTCAAATAATCACCATCATATAAAAAATCTGCGAAATTATCATCACCACCGGTATAATCTATGAGTCCTAGGCGAACTTTAGTTTTATCATCTAATTTCAATCCCAGAACCCCGTAGAGAAACCTTTCTTTTGCCGGTGAAAAACGTTTTAATAATGTCGTTTTTCCAACAGATTTATCACCAATAACTACTAATTGAAATTTATAAACTCTTATGTTTTTACTAAACATTAAAATAATTTTTTTATACGCGGTTGACATTTGATGTCTCGTCACTGTACACTTAACTACTTAACTTAATTTTTACTATAACAAACATCATTTGACAAATCTTCTCTTTTTATAGTCTTTCGCTGCAACAACAGAACGGGAAAAATTCCAGGCAAAGTCTTATAGTGTCGAATATGTTTTTTCCCATGCATCATCATAATGCTGACATTGTTATCACAGAATGAAGCAGGAAGTATTTGTTAGTATTGTGAAAGAAAGGAATCTAGCATATAAGTGAATAACTTTTCCCGCATTTGTAGCATATTCGTAAACGAATGTGTTAAATGTCTGTTTGTTTTCTTTCTGTTCTCTTTTCTTTCGTAGAAAAATTCTTTTTTTTCTCTTGCTCATAATGCAGTACACTTTTTTTCAGTATGATTTTTAATTTTGCAAATGGTTTAGGAAAGCCTGCTGAGGGCCACCTTTGAGTTGTAGCTTGCCGTTTTCATGGCTTTCAGCGACATCGCATTCGCAATTTTATTAAAACGGCCTAACAAAGCCGACCCTGACTGGTATTATCATATTCTACGTATGTTAAAACAATGAATCAATTAAAAGCCCAATCTGTTATTTCGCGTTTGTGAGACATAGCCAAAATTGAAATGGCTAAATCTAAGGGCTATATTCATCATCTAAAATGTGATGAATTAGAGTAATATAACAAGCAAAGGAATTTGACTATACATGGAGTAGCAGAAAACGAGGCGAAAATGCTAATAAGATAACCGTTAATGCTACAAAAAGTAATTCAAAACTCATTAGATGATAAATTTATTTATGCATCACAACGTCTGCCATCTGAAAGAAAAAATGTATCTGACTGGACCGTTACACCTTGGTTTAGGATTTTAAATACAACAACAATTATTTTTTATAATTCAACTGATATAAATGAAAAAGTTCTAATTTTAGAGTCGGGTATCTTAACGGTTAATCCGTGCGTTCCTACTAATCTTGTTCGAGACTTTTTGAGTGATCATTCGTGGTTTACACAATATTAACGCTTCTTTTATAGTCATCAGGTCGTCGACGCATTGTATGTCGCTAGTTTATCGGAATGTGTCAAATTAGACAACATAGCGGCTGTTAAAGGATAGAAACTAGCACTTATATCTCACAAAACTAAGTGTGAACTCTCAGAAATTCCTAGATCCCAGGTGTATGAAAAAAGAAATATCTATGCACTTCTAATTCAATTAAAATTATGAACTTTCGAAGATTTTGCCGTTCTACGGCACGAGAGTGGCTAACTTTCATAGTGCATAGAT